GATTTATTCGTGTATGCACCAGACGGAAAAAAAAAAAAAAAATCGTGTATCCACAAACACTCCAATAAATAAATAGAATTGAAACGACACTTTGAAATGTTTTCCCGATGAAAATGAATAATAATAATAAGTTTCAATAAAAATGATAAAATGTAAATTGAACTTCATCATAACGAGTTTGCTTGAATTTCCTTTCTTCTGAGATCGCAGCAATGCGCGACGGGTAAGCTAGTTTTTTATAAAATACAAGGGAAGCGGCGCTTCCACCGCTTCTAATGACGGCACGCCACTAGTCCTCATCTAATCAACTCTAAGTTGTGACCTCTGTTCCGCCAAATGGCACTACAGAGAAACTAGGAGACGATGTCTTAATCATCGGCCGGTCCATTGCCCGGTGATCACCGAGCGCCCAGACTCAAAAGCTAGCCTGAGAAAGTGCTTGGGCTCTGGCTCGGGTCCAGGTAGTCCGAGGATTACCGACCTTCATTGCCGTCCTTGCCTTCATCGCGTCTCGAGTCCAACCCTCTTACGGACATGCGTTTTGCACAGTATAACTGTACTTAAGAGAACTCTACCGAAAAGAGGTACTCAAACGAACGGACAGCGGGGCCTCCCTTCCCTGTAAAGGGGCCCTGTCCAGTTTTGCTGGACTATAGGTCGAAGTGACCAAAAATAAAATCCATTATATTCCTTAAAGTCTCTAAGTCTCCTTTACTTGCTGCTAGCGTTCTAAGTACTTGGTCATTCGGATTTACTCCGTCAGAGGGCACTCAAGTACGTAGTGCCTCGCGTCGCCGCGCGGGCACCCACAGCGGCAGCAACCGTTACTTCGACCGAATCTGGCCATGTAACGGGGAAACTTCCCGTGTCCTGTAAGGATTTGGGTCAGTCTCCAATTACAACTGATCGGCGTTAGGCCAACTTCAGCCACGAAGGCGTAGGTTGACCTACCAGAAGATGGTCCGTCCGAATGCGTTGGGCCCCGTCCCTCGCCCGCCCCATTATGGGCCTAGCTGAACCCAGAATGAGCTTGCTAAAAGAGGCCCTCTTATTGCATACAGGGCGAAGAGAGTTTTAAAAAAAGCCTTAATTTTCCAAATTTTTGCGACTGTCTAAAATTTTTAATCTACCCTCGAGTACCCTGGGGTCATTCCTCCAGTTTAAGAAACGCTGCTCTATGTCAAATAAAACTTCGGTTCTAGACAACTCACAAGATGGAAACTACTCTAATAAAATATATTAACCGAGTACCTATATTTTGTAGAAGCATAGTGGCATTTCAACAGACATTTATTTGTACAAATTTCTTCCCACATAAATTTGAGCATTTAATCAGTTGGTCTAAAAGTATAGCAATTATTAGTCTCAAAGTACGAAAAAGGCGCGTCTTATAATCGAGAATACACGGTTTGGTTCACAGGGCGGCAGCGGTGGACTATTTCTCTTAGAGGGTGCGTCCACCAGATGGAAGTGCGTTCGGCCATGTTTAGCAAGGTCTATACAAGGTGG